CTGCTGAGTCCGATGGCTCGGTAAGCAAACGGCAAGCGGCTGCGGCTTCCGATGACAGGCTTCTGAGTCCGAGGCTCGGCAGCAAAACGGCAAGCGGCTGCGGCTTCCGCTGACAGGCTCCTGTTCCTTTAGAAAATGCTCCTGGCTAGCCTTCAAATCCCATCCTCGTCGCCAGTGTTGTATTTCAAGGGAAAGAGAGGCTTGGACCAGGGCATGCAATTAACACGTTTATTGAAGGAACAGTGGTTGTCGCGTCTGCCAGCCAAACGGGCAGACTGGCTTGCGAACAACGGATGGCTTGGTTTGACAGCCGGCTTTTTATAGCCAGCTGTCAAACGACGCCAGCCAATAGGAACGGCTGTTGAACTTGCTTAACGAGTGGACCCGGTTGGAGCCCCAACCGGTTCCCAAGACATAACACTTTCAACCCCTTTACAGGGCAGGTAATGCCTACCTGCAATGGTAGGCAACTCTAAATTAACCTCAAGCATCCAATTGAGAGGCAGGGATACAGCCACTTTCAAGTTGAAAAAGCAGCCATTTTGTTTTCTCCTCCACCTCCAAACAGACACTAAATCAGGTCTTCCATTTCTTAAAATCCCATATTTGTTATCTGTGCTAAACTGAAAGAGCTCTCTTAGCCTGTTTAACCTATTATTTCTTTTTTATTTATATTTCTTTGTTTTAAACAAAGATTTTATTTGGTCTTGTTTCTATTGGGAAATTGCTTCTCGTTTTTATGCTAGAAATAAAGAAATGAAATGTAGAATTTAGTTAAATATTGAATAATGTGTACTTACAGAAATGATTTGGAAATAAACAGCTTTTGCTCCTTTTTCAATCCTGCACTCCAATCCCCCTTCTTAATGTTTATTTCATTTTATTGTATTTTATGTTATAACAAATGTCAATAAAAAGAGTGTGTTATTTAGGATTAAGCATTTGCACAGAAGTCAGCATCTATCCAATTATTGAGAGGGGGAAAGATGCTAAATTCCAGAATGATTGGAAATGGGCCAAACACAGCCTTCATCACCTCATAATCTATAGACTGCAAAAAAAAATGGTACAGGTAAAATTAAGAATTCCCTGGCTGCTTCTATTTGTCATTCTGTCTGCTCATTAAGAGGGCGCTATTCTAAGATCATTTTCCTCTGCCTTTTCCAGGCATGCAAATAGTTTTGTCTTTCCTCAAAATATATATTTCTTAGGTATCTGTTTGTTTTTAACTGGACAACTATGATGATTTTATCCTTGAATGATCCTATATTCTTGGCATACACTCCTAACATTCTTTACTCATTCCTCAGCAATGCTAGGCAGAGGTGTGTGTGTGTGTGTGTGTGTGTGAGTGTGTGTGTGTGTGTGCGCGCGCGCACGCACCCCCATGTATGTGCATGCTATTCATGTCAGATTTTTTCCAACATGCACATGTAGAACAATGTAATCTCCACTGCTAAATTATGGCACTGATAGCAATAAAATTGAAAGATTACTACATCATTTCACATAGACTCTTCCCTTGGGAACACTATAATGAATTCAGAGTTTGGATGTTTCATATGTAACCTCCTGCCCTAAAATAGATATTGAGAAACCAGTTATATTTCTTCCATTTCAAAACATGTTAAGAATAATGCCAATAAATTGTTTCACTTATTTTACAATACTTCAGCTAAAACAGAAAGTCCAATATAGATTATAGGAATATTGAAGAAAATTTATTCATATTACACATATCAATATACATACATGAGCTCCTCAATGCAAATAGAGAAATTCTGGGCACAGCTCAAGAGTTGCTCAGTGCAATTACATTGGCATGAAACTAAATTTTCTTCAATGTGCATATAAACACACAGTTCAATACATAGATACTGGAAAGCATGAGTAGCCAAGATGTTCCCTTTAACAAATGGAAAAATTTGAGAGACCCACTGAAGAAAGTACTTTTTTGAGTTTTGGAGTAGCATTCTTGTGTGTGCTATCCTGAACATATAATTTGGTAATATTAGGGAAAGATGGGAATATAATTTGCATGGCAATTTATAAAAACCAAATAGGACCTACAATATATTTGAAGAAAACCTTTTACGTTGCCTTGAAGCTTCTCCTGGTCTTCCAGTTTTTGGTCAAAAGTCAGATGAGGCTATTATGCAGTGTCTCTGATTCAGCAGGACTCTCTTCAGATTTTTTTTAAGGGCATGCTGGAGAAAGCAGTGTCACATTTTGATGAGCCTTGTCACAACAAGCAAACAGCAAACACCTTGACAGCTTTCAGCTACTCATTTTTGGTGAATAGTATGCCCTCCACCATGTAAAGTATTACCAGCCTTTCAGAATGGCCATGTTGCCTAACAAAGCAACTATGAGGGAGGGAGTCCTTTGCATGAAACTTTTGTTGAAGCAAAATATCGTTTCAAAGACTTCCATAGCCCCGGTAGACATCACTATAGTATCGTCCAGTATTACATTGGACTTTCAGCTTCTAAAATCTGAAAAGACTTACAAAATGTTTGGCACACTGAAATCTACTGCTACAAGTTTTCAAACATTTTCTGTTTCCCAACTTGTAAATTCTGCCAAGATAGAAGTTTAGAAAAGGTAAAATATTTCATTTGTTTTTTTTTCTAGTTCTTTTATTGATTAATCATGGTGTGCATCTAAATTGTTTCTTGTAAAATATCTAGCTTTATTACTCCAAATTGCTATTTTGTTATTTTCAGAGGAAAGTGGTAACAATTCCAGAAGATGATACTGGAGATGACTTTGCTTTTGACATTTATCAGATAGTTTATACTGCAAGGTATCAGTATGCAAAGGATATGTTGCTCCCTTATCTTTTACCTAATATTACTGAATAAATTTTGGGCTGGTTATTGGAAATTGGTGAATGCTAACAAGATAAAACTTCAACCCAATGGAGACAAATAATACATTCATTTCTTAATCTTTCACAAAGGAGTTAGGGGTTTTCCTGGACCACAATGCAGGCATCATTGATGACCAAGAATACATTTTCCATCTTTAATTGACTCACTAGTTTTCATCTTCTCTGGAGAACACATCTTGCTTCGGTAGCTATATCATCATCATCATCATCATCATTTTTTTTTGGTCACTTACCAACAAAGTTACATTCAATGTTAAAATTAAAATCATTCTTTTTGCCAATGATCTAATCTACATATTACAGGAATTAATAAAATTAAAATTCTAGGTGCTATCACAAATATAAAAAGCAATACTTTTAAGATTATATATGGGTATTCTTCAACTTACAATCATAACTGAGTCCAAAATTTCCAGTGTTACACAAGACAGTTGTTAAATGAATTCTGCCCCATTTTATAACCTTTCTTGCAACAATTAAGTAAATCATTGTAATTGTTAAGTTAGTAACATTGTTAAGTGAATCTGGCTCCACCGTTGACTTTGTCAGAAGGTCACAAGAGATTATCATATGACATCGAAACACTGCAACTGTTATAAATACATGCCAGTTGCCAAGTATCCAAATTTTGATCATGTGACTATAGGGATGCTGCAATGGTCATGCGAAAAATGATCATCAATCATTTTGCTGGTCTCTAAACAAATGGTTGTAAGTGAAGAACTACCAGTAACCGGGATTACAAAAATATACCTAGTGACTATATCTGAACTAGATTGCTATAAACACTCAATATGAAACTGCCTTAAGATAATTAGGGGACTGGAGGCTAAAACATATAAAGAACATTTGCTGGAATTGGGTACGTCTCATTTAATGAAAAGAAGGATTAGGAGGTGACATGATAGCAGTGTTACAATATCTCAGGGTTTGCCACAAAGAAGAGGGAGTCAAACTATTCTCCAAAGTACCTGAGGGCAGGACAAAAAGCAATGGATGGAAACTAATCAAAGAGAGAAGCAACCTAGAACTAAGAAGAAATTTCCTAGTAGTTAGAACAAACTTGCCTCCAGAAGTTGTGAATGCTCCAGCACTGGAAGCTTTTAAGAACAGACTGGACAACCATTTGACAATTATTTGAAATGGTATAGGGATTGGAATAGAAGACCTCCAAGGTCTATTCCAACTCTGTTATTCTGTTCTAAATTTCAAACAATCCAAATATGATAGCAAGAATACTCAAGGGTATAATATCAATTATCTTCTTGTAATGAAGACTCCCTGTTTATTTCTCCACATATGATAAAACATTTATCTTTGGCTTTGCAGGCCTTAATAATGAAGCATTTCCATGAAATGCATGAACATTTGTTTATTACATCTTGATCAAAATGCATTGTTCATTTAAAGTTGTGTAATATGCATATTAAATTGATTGTTTTCTTATACATTCTACATATTTTAGTGGCAGTTGCTCTGAAAGTAGCTTAACCCTTTTAATTAAAAATAAATAAAATGAATACATGTATATAATGTTCAGGTAAATTGCTAATTTGCTTCAATTAATGGAAAAATAGTCCACAGGCAGCACAATTGCCTACAACTCTGGCATTGGGTAGATTTGCCCCTTTGAGAAAATAAAATGAAACTTGACCAACAGTATAAAATGAATACCATTGTTTGAATGTTTATTTCTAAACATTTATGTATAAGAAATATAACCAGTCCCATTTTGTACAAAAATACCTGAAGGATAACAATTAAGTTCACTAGTCAAAAAAACAAAACAAAACTATTTACAATATGAAGCAATGCATATTGAATAAGAGGTTGTGTCCCTTAAGTTAATAATTTTTGCATTCCCTGATAAGTTTTATTTCATTTTACAGACACAATAAAGTCTTGTGGTATGATAATATAGTTTATGCTAAGCAAGTCTTGCCACTGGAAAGGTGCATTGATTGGTCAAAATAGTCAGGTACTTAGTGCAGAAAAGTTAAGACAAAACAATCTAAAAATAGAGGCACATTTTTCTTCAAGATTAATACAACAAATAAAAAGCTGTACTTTTAAAAAACACAAATAATATAATGTATCTATTTTTTTAAAAAAAATTACCAAATGGTTTGGCATTTTCCTTCTTAACACATTACAAGATGCTATATGACATATTTTATTTACAAAACAATCACAGGCAAAAATAAAATAAAATCAACAGGCTCCAGAAACAACCCTGAGCATCCCTCTTTACATTCATGTCATTTAAATATTTTTTTAATCAAATTTCCTTCAACCCTTATTTCCTAAATTGTCAGATAGCTGTATCTGTTAGTACTTTTAAGATGGATTAGATTGTACATTTCTAACAAAGGGAAGAAATGCAATATGTGCTCAAGTAATTCTGAAGATAGTACAAAACAGTCTGCCCTCTTCATTCAAATTTATAATAAGAACTTATATTGTCAAATTCAATTAAATGCATTTTTATAACATGAAACTATTACTAAGAAACTGAATGATTGGAGCCAAGATACTGAAAAATAACTTAATTTCTAATAAACTCAAACAACTTCACTTAAATTTGAAAATCAGTATTTTGGCGAGGAAATCTGTTTAAATCCATTTTAGGAAAATGCAATACTAAGTAAACTCATATTACTTTACCTATAGATGTTTACAAAATATGTAAAATGTAATAATCAAAATATGTCTAACAAAAATCAAGTTTCTTCATTGTATATATAGAAATTTCATGGAAAAACCCCTATTAGATTTGTTCTGTAAACTAAAATACAGTGTTTTTATCTGCTATAGATACTCAAGCTGGTTATATTGATTTAAGCTATTCTCAACAGTATATGATTACCTTGTGAATAAATAACTGTACTCAATTTCAACTTTTCAGATTGCTATTAGTCACATGCAATAATTAATATTAATTAGTATCAATATAAAGGTTCAAGATTCCCGGAGCAAGTGAGAAAATATTTCACTTGCAAGTAATTCTGAACATTCATAGGCTGGAACATACTTCTTGATACATAAAGCAAAAAGCACTTCCTATATGCACTTAACCATCATCCCTAAAACTCGATAATCGTAATCATTGACCTTATTTAAGTGCAAGCTATCAATGAAAGAAACGTTGCTATGGAAACATGAAAAGCTGAAATATTAAGAAGCATTGCCTTGATTCCACTATTATTAAGTTGTCCACATGGTATATCTCTATGCACACAGTTATGCAGAATTAGAAAACATGAGTCAGTATCATTACATTGACAGATATCTCACTTTTGTGACATATAATTTTATTTGCCACATTGAGAGCTAGAAAGCTGTGCCTTTCAAGAGAAATAAAACATTATTTGTTCTGCATAGCTATGTACAAATTAACATTCTATGTCTTTGCTTTTAGGAAGCCTAAACCAGGACTCATAGTATGATGATGAACTAGGACTTGAAGCAAGGTTTCTCTAATTGCTACAGATACTGGCATGCAAATTTTAGTGCACAAATCCCAACTAAATCAATTGTCTGAACTGTCAATGGCATGTCTTTCGGTGGCAGAGACAGCTGAGCATATAATTTCCAAATAAAAATGATTTATCCAGTTATTACACTGCTGCATATATATTGCTATCTTTTACAGCTAGACTGAAATAGATGGAGAGAATGTGAAGCAATGCTTCGGGACGATTTCCACAGTTTGACCAAGTTTTGACCAGCAGCATGTAATCAGACTGCATTTCTCACATTTACTTTACTGAAAATCTTATTTATCATGTCCTCATTTAGGAAAAGTCTATTCATGCTGCTGAAGGACTCCTCAATATCTAGCTGTTATTAGAAGATCAAGAATGCTACACAAACACTTCTCTTTGTTTTCACTTTTGATTCTTTCTATTTATAATTTGTGTAAGCCCAACAATAGTATTTTCATTAAGCAAAGAAACATAAAATCAGAATTGTGCTTCGGTTATTAGAAAATACACATCCAGAAAAAAAAAATTGGAAGGAAAATGCAGACTTACAGAGCACTCTTAAAGTCCTAACCATGGTTAGAAGACTAGGCAGTGTTATATGTGCAATGGAGCTATAGCATACATTCTGAAGAGTGAAGGAAATAATGCTAAAAATAGCAAACACTGATTTGTTTTATACCAAATATACTACATAAATGACAATCTATTCACTCCCAATTAAAACATAATAATAAGAAAAGCCAGATGATTCCAAATACATATATTATCATTCGACTGCGAAACTGGCTAATGACAGTGGATTTTCCCCTGGCATCTGTGCAGAAAGAGGACCTCCAGCAGATTGGGAAGGAGAGGGATAATCAAAACAATTCAAACCATCTGTGCATAGAAGGAGAATCCTCTTTCAGATACACAGTCATTACATTAAAAAGCATACACTAGTGGGATATTTTTCCTTCCCAGAATTGTTCTCCATGTTGTTTCTTCAAAACAAATGGTGGACCACTTAATTTCAAAAGGGAGAAGCTATTTTTTGATTTCAGATTATAATAAGACTGAAGTAAATTACTCAATATATGATTTAGAACATCCAAATCAGGTATCAATTTAAAAACCATATCATCTAGTATAGGATAAATATAATTTTCAAAACGAGTGCAAAAAAAGAGGGAGGAGGAAGGAGGGGGAAGGAGAAATATAAAGAAAGCAAACAATAAAAAAAGAAAATATTCAGTTTTAAATTGTCAAGATTTATCCAGGGCAAGAGTTCATTTCAATAATTTTGCTTCACAAACCCGACTCTGTTACATGGCAAGCCAAGGGACAATTTCCAGTTTTGTTTAGTGTTTTTACATAATTTTTCCCAGTTTTGGGGGAGGGGCAGTTGCTGGGACACTCAGCAGAATCAAGCATAGGATTTAGACAAAAGAGCCAAATCTTGGACTGTTGGCACCAGCTCAAGCATCCCTTTCCAAGTCCCCTAATTTTAATGATACATTTTGTTCCTCAAAAACAACTACAAGTTGGCTTAATGTCCCAGGGTCAACTTTCTTCAACAAAATTTCTCTTCCATCTCCAGTCTTGGAACAAACCAGTCATCTGCATGGACTGGTACAGAGGTCACAAGGCCACCCGGATGCAGTGATGTTTGAGTTTACAAGGCAAAACTCCCTTGTTTAATTGATAGAATTCAACAAGTTGTATTAGGTCAGTGAATTTGGTGCTGCCATCATCTAGACTGAAAAATATCTGTCCGTCATCTTCACACTTGAAAAATGAAAATGAAACAAAAATAAAATACTAAAGACAGAAAACAAATTATTCAAAAAGGAGTGTTAAAATATCTCATCCAGTATGTGTATCCTCCTATTCATTTCATTACCTTTACCTCCTAGCTTTCTTTCCTACATAGTGCAGGCCCTGACGCTACATGAATTCCACAATTCTCAGATTTCTGTGGAATTACAGTTAAGTCAGACAAATCAGAGTTCTCAATCAAGGCACACTTGACCAGACTCAAACTGACCTACTTTGAACACGTTATGCAAAGATCTATGAAATTTCAAATCCTTTTTTTTTTTTAAATTATGATGAAAAAGTTCAACCTCAATCTCATCAGCCCACGGCACAATTGTCTAGAGAAGACTCTTATGCTGGGAAAGGTGGAAAGAAAGAGAAGTAGAGGATGAACAGCAGCCAGGTAGAAGGATTCAGTTACAGCAACAGTGGGTGCCTTCTTGGAACACTTGGAAGAACCACGTTAAGAAAAGATCATCATGGAGAAAATCCATCTGTGTGGACACTGAGAGTTGACAGTAAGTTGATGGCACAAAATCAATTAAAATGATATATTTCCAAAGTATTAACAGATTAAGCAATTTAAGATTAAAAAGTTCTAGTAAAGGGCCATCAATGTAGCATTTAAAGTTAAGAAATAAAAGACATCCCCTGATAAAATGCCAGGTTTTTGAACTGTAAGAAAGATTAAGGTAAATCACTTCAGAATTCTTTCCACCTTTAATATACCAAATAAATTGTGCAATTCATTTGAAAAACGAACTGAAAGATCTGAAAGGAAAAATTAACAATAAAAACTTACAATAATGAGGTTGCATAAGTGTGTATACCCTTACATTAACACTTTGCTGAAGCACCTTTTCATTTTATGACACATTCAGCCTTTGTGAGAAGGAGCCTATCACAGCATGGCACAGCTTGCCTTAGGAATTTTTGCCCATGCTTCCTTGCAAAAGTGCTTCAAAACTGTCAGATTGCAAAGGCACCTTCTGTGCTCAGATTTCTTCAGGTCAGCCCACAGATTTTCCATTGGACTGAGACCTGGACTCTGGCTGGGCCATTCTGGAACTTTGATCTTCTTCTGGTGAAGTTGTGTTGGAAGGTGAAATTCCTCTTTATCTTCAGCATTTTAGCAGAGGCTTGAAGGTTTTGGGCCAAAATTGACTGATATTTGGAACTGATTACAATATGCTCCAGCTTAATTAAAGCCCCATTTCTAGCTGAAGAAATGCAGCCCTAAAGCATAATGCTGCCATCAACATGCTTCACAGTGGGTTCATAGTATTGTTTTTGCACAAAACATACTTTTTGGAATTATGTTGAAAAAGCTCAAGCTCAGTCTCATCAGACCACATTTTCCCACATGCCTTTGTCAGATTTAATGTACATTTTTGCAAAATGAAACCAGGATGGGGTATAATATATTGAAGACAGGTCAATAATTTACAAATAGATTTATAGTTTAAAAAATTTGGGAGGGCGTGTTTCGCATGGGAGGGGGAGAACTAACATCACAGTAATGTATTGATCAGTATTCAATTAGAGGTGTGTGTTTGTGTTGGTCATAGCCCTGACATACGATCAATACAGGAGATTATTGTCACACATAGTACACAACCTATATCTGACATATTTTCTCCACTTGTTTATGAGTTTGTTCCATGGCTTAGAAATTGCTTTGTATCCTTTTTCTGACTGATACTTTCCAAGAGTGATATCCCTTTGATGCTCTGAAAGCTCTCTGCAGACCATGGCTGTTGTTGTAAAAGGCAACTAAGTAAATAACCAGAAAAATCCTACCTGAACTTCATGTGGGCTTGATCAGAGTCAATTTAATTAAGGACAAGTATGTACAGACTACTATTCACCATACATTTGAATGTGATTGGTTAATTCTAAAAACAACCACATCCCCACTTATAAGAAGAGAGTAGAAACACTTATGCAGCCACATTATTCTAGTTTTTTTTAATCCCTCACTAAACATTTAACTTTGCTTTTCAATATCTATTGTATACACTGATATAAGAAATTGTACAGCATAAACACACACACGTGTATGTGTGAGTGTGTATATATATATATATATACACACACACATAAATATGAACACACACATATGCATACACACACACGTGTGTGTGTGTGTGTGTGTGTGTCTGTGTCTGTGTCCGTGTCCGTGTCCGTGTCTGTGTCCCTGTCCGTTATACAATTTCTTTTATCAGCATATTGTCAGGCTACAGAACTTTTCCCATTCACTCAACTAAAAGGAACTTCTGAAAACGTATCCAAACTTATCACAAAGGAATTCTTTATTGAGATGAGATAATTCCTGTAGGAGTTCAAAGCAGCGTATGAGGTCTCTCAGGCATTCAGGGATACATAAGGGAGTTTAGAACCCTTCCCCTTATCTCGATGTGTATTTAGTGAAACAAAAGCCAGTATGTTAATTCCTCCCCACCCCTCTTGTAAGGAACGATCTTTTCACAGTTTCCCAGGGCATACCTAATTCCCCCCCCCCATCCTCTTTTTAGAACAAACTATTTATGACCTTCTCATCTCCTGGTTGTGCCTCTCAGAGGTGATAGTTCTGGCCATCTGGCTTTTCTCCCTCCATCGTATCATGTGTAGGTTATACAAATTCGATATAAGATTAAATATATTCAGGTTACATCAAGAAAGGATTTCTTTATCAGCCTCCCCCGCCCTGCCCTTTTCTTCTTCCACTGAAGAAATGACAGATACACGGATCTGACACATATACAGTGCAGGGGTCTCCAACTTTAGCAACTTTAAGACTTGTGGATTTCAACTCCCAGAATTCCTCAACCAGCTTTGCTGGGAATTGAAGTCCACAAGTCTTAAAGTTGCCAAGGTTGGAGATTCCTGATACAGTGGATATTGAAAAGCAAAGTTAAAAAAATATGTTTTGTACAGAATAAATCATATATCTGAGACTGTCAATCCTACACTTAAGTAGGCAATTTTCAATTTAATACTTTAGAAAAATTAAGGGAACAGAAATAAATGCACATTCTGAAAGATAACACCACCCAGTACTGCCTGGGTGGAATATTATACTTACTGGTAAAATCTGAAAATGTTTAATTTTTTGATGATGACACAATGTAAGTACAAATGCCTTTGGATTACTCTGGCTGTCCCGAAGAAGAAATAATCTATAAAATAACATTGTATGTTACTACCAGATTGATTATATATTTCTTATAAACAAACAATTCTACTGTTTTATGATATCATAACATACTTCATGTCTATACATAAATAATCTGATATTTCATTGATGCTAATAATAATATAAAGAATAACTATATGTAAGATGCTGATATTCTATGTATGTCAATGTTACAATATTAACTATTTGATTTCTTGGGATCTGAGCATTAAAGTGATTTTTGAGTATTCCAACTGAATAAGCAAGCACATGGTTCATGCAAAGGGCTTAGTTTCAGTCTTGAAACCTGTGGTATAAAAGATCTGAATTGGCAAAGGACAGTTATTACTATTTGTTTTTCCAAGTACCTATCCTATAGGCATCTCAAGATGAGAATTATATGAATTTATTAGCGCACTCATTTCAGGGCTTCTACCAGGATTTATAGGCCATAGAATAAATAGTACATGATTAAAAAATACATACCCATCCACAAGACCTTGTTGTTTAATAATCCTGTGTGATTCTTCTCTTGAAATCCTGCCATGAAACCAGTGTTGTGTCCTATGAATAACTGATGAAAAAATGAATGGTTACAGCTAATGTATTAAAATATGTGTGCATAAAACCAGTATAGGTTTTATCATCATTTATTATGTTCCTAACTGCAAGATTCAAACTATGATTTCTGATCGTATATACTACAAAAACAGAACAAGACAAAAACATAGCATTAATAAAATAAAATTAAAAAATATCACAATGCAGTAATACAAGGTTCCAAATTGCTTCTGAACAATGAAGCTGTTCATTTAACTTTAGAGGGAGAGTATTCTCAAATGTGAGGCACTGTAACTCAGGAACAAACCTTTTGAACTTTAGAACCTCTGGCATCATTGGCTCAGATGTCATTAGCTGATGATGGTGGGCAATAAGTTCTTGGAAGTTTTTTTGTATAGGAAAAGTAGTCCTCTAGTTACTTTGCCTGCCAAGCCACAAATGACTTGTGAAAATGTAATCTATAATGAATTGCATTGAAATGTGTCTCTAACTTGCATATATATAACATGTGTTTTGCAGAGTTACTTTCAGTGAGATGGTGATTATATAAATTTGACAGATAGATACACAAATAGAACAGATATGAGAATCACATAACATCTTTAATCCCATCTCCCACTTAACCACTGTTCTTGTTATGTTCTTCTGGCCTACCCTGTTTTATACTTTTAGAAGTACTATGTATCTTTTTCTAAGTGTCAAAAATGTATGTATTTAAGGAATTTAAATGATTGACCAATTCAAACTTTGCAAATACAGGTGGCATGCCACAGACTAAAAACAAAACAAAACAAAACAAACAATTTCAATTGATTTTTGAATTGATTTTTGTTTTAATTTATATTAATTTTCTTTAATATAAGTGGAGTTTTGCACATCTTCATTTATTTGTTTTATTTATTTATCTAGTCAATCTGCTGGTCTCACCACTGTAATAAAGATGGAATATAACAGATTTTTTTCTAAAATGACATGAAATAATTCAGAAATACTTCCACATAAGGAAGGTTTCTGTATTTGGATCTGTTGAATCTGACCAAGGTAAAAATCATAAGCCAGAAAGTATAAGTTTCAGCAGAACAAATAACTATGTAAATGATGGATATCAAATGCAACAGGCTCTTATAAATTAATGTTTCTATGTAATTTTTTAAAATGAAGTAACATTTTTCTTCTTAGTACATAACCATAAGCCAACATGATGAATTACTCCGGGTGTTTTTTCTGTCCATAACCTTAGCATTTTAAGAACCATTAAAAGGAGAACTGAAATCAAGACAAGATCTAAAAGAACAAGGGGTGGAACTGGATTGGTGGACCTATCTACAAGTCCAATCAAGATATGGAAAAGACATGAAAAAAATGGGGGATCAGTAGACAGGCAATGACACTAAATGAAATATTACTTGGATAAGAGGATAAATTGATAAGAAAAAATTACAGATTTTTATTGGACTACAAATTAGATGAGGAATAGGTAAAAGAAACGATGTTGGTGTAGGCTAAAAATTTTGGACATGATATTAATCTGGATAAATGACAAACTTTATGGGAGAGAAATAAAAAAATAGCATTGGCCACATTGTATAAGGAAAACCTATATAAAATGTATCTCCGGCAGCAAAATTGGCCAAAATCACCCAACTGCTGGAAATGTACTCAGGAATATGGATCATATTATCACACATGGTGGAAATGTAGAAAAACCCAGGAGTTTTGGCATAGGATCCAGAGGGAGTGAGAGGAGATGGTTGGGCATAAAACGGAGTATAAACCGGAATTTTTCTTACTCAGAATTATAACAGAAAGATACAAAAAAGAGATGATTTATTTAATAATACATGTGATCATGGCAGCACTTGTAAGCTGTAACAATCATGGCAGTATTTGTAAGCTGAATTTGTAAGCTGTAACAGTTTTATCATATAATATTGTATAAGTAAAATTGAATGTTTTGCTCAAAAATGGAAAGACAAAGAAATTCCTGGAATTGGAAGGACAAAGAAATTCCTGATGAAATGGAAAGACAAAGAAATTCCTGATGAAATTTTCCTGATGAAAATTTTTTGCTCAAAAATGGAAAGACAAAGAAATTCCTGATGAAAGCGAAGTAATAAAAAAGATATGCGCTGAGATGGATAAATTAACTTTGGAAATGAAAAACAATGATGAGACAGAATATTATAAAGTGTGGGGGGGAAAGGAAGGATCCAGAATCAAAATAAAGCAACGTTGGCAGAACGAATGATTATAAATATAAAATATTGTATAAATGTATACAAAACATGAATTCTATGATATAATATGTATGACAAACAGGAATGTCAGGACGATCACACCATGTCCAATGTTTTTAACACTTTATTCAATAAAACTTAATAAAAATAAAAACATAAAAAAGAATCATTAAAATTACACACACACATACAAAATATAAAGCACGGTATATCATTAAACAGAATAAAACCTGTTTAGTAATCAACCCGACCAGAACCTAAAGCCTTAAAGTTGGAAAAGCCATTTAGTGTATATAGGTAGTCCCCAGTTTAAGAACAAGTTCTCTTCCCAAAACCTGTCCTTAATTGAATTTGTAAGCTGTAACCATTTTATCATATAATACTGTATAAGTAAAATTGAATTCAAACCATTGTGTATTTAACTCAAATTTTGCTACAATAGATATTCTTAATTATGGGTCATCCTTACATCGGAGTATTCTTAACTCAGGAATTTGCCCTACTATCATGTTTACTATTGATTCATGAGGCTAAGTTTAGATTAGTCAGGTGTAAAGTAAATTTACTGATAGTCAGTTAAAATATAAAGGTGTCCTCAATACCTGGTGATTATGTTACCCTATCTATGTAATCTTCTTGACAATAAGGTTGAAATAGTTGGTCACCACCTTTTTGCAGATGTTTCAACATCTCAGTGTAGCTTGTTATCCTTAGATTTTGTGGTGTCTATGATCCAATCTCCTGCTTAGTTTTTTTGTTAGCAGACTGCACATTGAAAATTAAGGACACTGTATGCACAATTATTAGGCAAATAATGATTTCAACCATATCATCAATTTTATGCATATTTTCCACCTCCAAGTTGTATAGTGGTATAAACATAGCTGTATTTGGGTAATAAGGGAGGGTGTGGCCCAAGGAGATCAACACCTTATATTAAGATGTGCATAATTATTAGGCAGCTTCTTTTCCTCAAATTGGGGGCAAAATTTTGCTGGACCAGATGGATGAACCCATGGCTGCACCAGGAAGGTGCACAGAGCTCCACTTCGACTCAGATGCCAGCAAACTGAAGGTACTGATATGGGCTGGTATTATTGAAGATGAGCTAGTTGGACCTTTTCAGGTTGAAGATGGACTCAAAATCAACTCCAAAGCTTACTGCCAGTTTTTAGAAAACATTTTCTGCAAGTAGTGATACAGGAAAAAGTCTGCATGTTTCAAGAAACCCATGATTTTTATGGGGGACAATGCTACATCACATGCATTGAAGTACACTACTGTGTGGCTATCCAGTAAAGGTCTTAAAGATGAAAAAATAATGACATGGCCCCCTACCTCACCTGACCTACAACCTATTGAGAACTTGTAAACCCTTCTTAAATGGGAGATTTATGGTGAAGAAAAACAATACACTTTTCTGATCAGTGTCTGGGAGGCTGTGGTTGCTGCTGCACAAAAAGTTGATCATCAACAGATCAAGAAATTGACAGACTCTATGAATGGAAAGCTTATGACTATTATTGACAAAAATGGTGGCTATATTGGTCACCATTTTTTGAAATATCAGAAATGTTTATTTGTAAATTTTGAATTGTTTATTATTCTCACTTTAACAGATGAGTGTGATAGGCAAATTTTCATTTTTCATTTAGCTGCATAATTCTGCACATTAATAATTGCCCAATAATACATACATACATAGATAGCACACACAGATATTCTCCTAAGAAAGCCAAAACTTCACTTTTACTTTCTTTAATATCCAGGTTTGAGGTTTATTAACGTTTTTGATTGACTGGGAGCATTGTAGTTGTTCAATAATAAAATTAATCCTCCAAAATATAACTTGCCTAATAATTGTGCATGCAGTGTAATTTACATTAAATTACTTAAAAGTCAGTTGATTTTGGTGGGTATACCCTATGTTTAAAAAGTGAATATTAGGTCTACAATGTAAAGAACTTAAAGCTCAAACATTGCCTGCTAGGAATTACCTCTTTTTGAATGGGAGGGGGAGGCAAATAATAAAGATGATCTATCTGACTTTAACAGCACAATTATTGGTTTGAGTCAAGTTAAATGTGAAACCAAAATGCAGGGACTCAACTTTCACATCAAAATAAAAAGTTTAAACTTAGTAGTTGCCATTCTTCTTACTTGTGCTCAGCAAGGAAGGATGAAGTGGGCTTTGATTCCCCAAAATGTTCATTCTTGTGCTACGTTTCTGCAGAACAAAGCATACAATTATTAAGTATTAGCAGCTGTACGGAGCACAAAAGCACAAAGTCTGACTTGGTTCCCTTGAGTGGAAAAAGAAACCCAGGTGCAAACCTATGAAGCTCACTGAAGTGGGATGTGGACCACGAACAACATCCTGAGGACTCTGGCAGGATAAAACCAACAATATTATTTTGAATATCCATTGTATGAATTGTGAAAATGGTGATTCTGCAATTATTTATAGGAAAAATAGTGTATGAGGCAATTTTCACAATATATATATATGTGAAAATATTTATATTTCATATATAACACCTAAGTATGTTGATATATAAGATTATATTATACATTAATTAATAATTTAAGAGTAAATTTGGTTTAATGATAAAAGTGCTGTCCCAGAAACCTGTTCTAGGCCTGCCTGAGGCAAACTTTCTCAACCCAATTCACAAGATCGATGTAGAGAAAATGTGAGAAAGGAGTATAAGGTGTATTTCTGCATTGAGCTGATCAAAAATAAATATATAAAAAGTCAGGACAATACAATAATTTTCTCCCATTCCCAAAATCTGTCTATTGTTTCACTAAGAAACCAAGGAGCAGAGCATTAGACATTCACTAACTAAGAATGGAGATATGGTAAGTAGGTTGAAAAAAAAGCCTCTCAACGATATAATCAATGAATGAAGAACAGAATAAAAATATCTGTACCTATCTGTATCTATTGCCCCTTCATTCAATTAATGCATGTCATCTCATCCTTAGATAGTAGATTCAGCCCACATATATCTTCTTAACATGAAAACTTTGAATGAAAGGCATGTGTAAAATGCCACTCAAATGACTGTGATGATTTTCCTAATAAACATTCCCACATCAGAGGAATCTCATCCTGAAATGTCATTACCATCCCATTACTAATGGACATTTGAAGAACATTTGTCATTAACAATGACATAGCAAATAATGTATTTTTTCAATCAAATTTCAAATTCCTTTAAAAACATGACAGCAGCACCTGTCCCATAGCCAATAACTACATTTTTAAATTAAATTTGTTCTCCACTTATTTTGCAGTGCCATGACTTGGGACTGCTTATAATCTGAGATATAAGAGATGTTATAAGAGATTAAAACAACAATGAAGTGCTCATCTAACCTGTGGTTACAGAGAAAGATTTGGCAATTGGCAAAGCAGAATGCAATCTCTTACCCTCCATGCATGGCCTTCTTCCAAAGCTGCACACTGTGCTTCTTCTGGATTTTCAATCACTCTTCCTATTTGTCCAGAAAAATCCATTGCTACTAATGAATTTTCAGAAACACTTCTCTGAAAGATGTTTGAAAGGATTATTAAACTAAAAATAAAATCAAAACTGAAATCCTAGAAAAATAACACCTGGGCAGAATACATAAAATAACTGCTGATATGACCGCTATCACTCAATTAAAGGAAAATTTGATGAAATAATTCAAGCAGATATTAAACCATGGATATGGGAACTATGGTTTCCAATGGCCCCAACACCATGTCATGGTGAGGTATGTTGGGTCCCTGTAATTCAGAACAGAGTTGAGTCCAACTTAATTTAAAATAAATTCCAAAGGACAACAAATGGAACAGTGTTTCTCAATCTCAGAACTTAGTTATATGGACTTTTAACTCTCAAAATTCTCTAGCCAAATATACTGAAATGAAACCCTGTCCTAATCACTCTCTGACAAGACACAATAAAATTCTGAGATAAATAGCAGAGTAGAACTTCCAGCGATCTCATTTATTAGTATATAACTGAGTAGTAGTTAGGATTTACATTACAACCCCATCCTTTAGTGAATTTTGCATATTATTTCATTTATCAAATTAGTGATATTCTTTTTTTACTTTTTTGGTTTCCTTATGATTAAAATTACTGAGAGTGCAATTTTCATTCTGACTCTATAAGAATAAAGAGAGTGTTTCTCAACCTTGGCAATGTTATGATGAGTGAATTTCAATTTCATGCCGGCTGGGCAACACTGGGAATTGAAATCCAGACACTCTGAAATCCACACATCCTAATATTGCCACGGTTGAGGAAAAAAATGGTGTAGGGAATGTCAGAACTGAGTAGTTAAAAGCTAATTTCTATCATTCAATGAGCTATTTCAACTCCTGGTTATATATTAGAGCTACTTGAACTCCTGGTTATATATTAGACGAATAATCTTTGTACTTCAATTAACTTACCGCAGGAGTGGCAAAGTGAGGAAGCAGATTGTTCCTCTGTTGTGGAATTCTGTAATTTTGGTACAGCAACATCCCATACTGAAAAGTTGAAGAGAGAAAAATTCAAATTGTTGTTGTTGTTGTTATCATCATCATCATCATCATCATCATCATCATCATCATCATCATCTTGGTTTGGGTTGGCTTAAATCAGTGGCCCCAAACCTTTTTTGTGCCACAGCCCGGTACCGGCATCACAAAATGATCCGCGGCCCGGTACCGGCATCAGCACGCATGACAAGGCAAGGCGAGCCGAGCAACCGGCCAGCCAGCCATCCCCCGCTTCTCCCCGCCACCTACAACTCCTCCTTTGTACCTTTGTCAATGGGCTTCGCTTCGGGACGGCTTCGGGATGGTCGCTCAGCTCGCCTTGCTTTGGGTGCTGAAAGAATCCTCACGCCTTAGTTTCGTTCAAAGCCCCCCGCCTTCGATTAAACTAAGGCACAAGGATTCTTTCAGCACCCAAATGCCACTTTCCAACCAGAAAAGCTCACCCGGAAGCACTTTCTTGTCAAACAAGATGGCGGTACCCAGCAAACCGGTGGCCCGGTAGGAAATGTTCCACAGACCGGTACCGGTCCACGGCCTGGTGGTTGGGGACCCCTGCCTTAAATAACAGACTTTGGCTTAAGAATTCTGTTCCACTTTCATTTTCTTCTGAGCAAGGCAACTGCAGTAAAAGAATAACCCTTCTATTTCTACAGAGGTAGCAGAGTAGAGCATTCATGCTGAAATCTGCAGTATTTTACACTGAATACATAGAAAATCATTCTAGCATAGAAAAAACACCCTACTATATTTATTAGATTTATAGAACTTAAACAGTGAGGCATATAACAAAATAAATAACTACAAACAAACAAAAACAAGTATATAATTTTTTAAAAATACCCACTATCTAAAATACAACATGGCTACCAAACATAATAACAATCAAAAGTGGACTCCATTCACTTAGAACCAAATGCTTGAGTATTCTCAATTATTCTCTTTTGTGACAGTGTATAAAGTTCATAAATTGGAATAGACATGGTAACAGGTCAGCCAATGGGAACTGTTTGGTGACTAAGAAACAGCACCTGTTGTGAGCCAGACAGCTTGGAGATTGGGCATGGCTTAGGGTTACTGGTCTGTATATAAGAGTTAGTTTGTCCTTGGATCTTTGCTCCTCTGTATGATATTGCTTCTGTGATTATTGATTCTGTACTTCTGGGTTCTGAGTTCTGGTTCTGGCTTCTGCTGTGTGGTATTGTATATAAAGAAGTTTCTTATATAAATGAATCGTGCTGAATTAGTTACATGTGTGCTGATTGGATTGCTGCAAACTCTAACGTTTTGTTTCTAGCTCTTGTCTTTTGTTTAAAAGATTTGCAGTTCCAAAATTAAACCAATCAGTTGAATGGCTTGCCATAAGAAGTTATAGATGCTCTGTCAGCAGAGACTTTTAAGAAGAGACTGGAGAGCCATTTGTCTGGATTGGTATAGGGCAAGTGTTGGCAACCCGCAGCTCCAGAGTCATATGCAGCTCTTTGGGCCCACTGCTACGGCTCCCTGTCCCATAAATGACTGGCCCCACCCCTCACACTCCCCTCCCTTGCCTGGCCTCAGAAGGTAAGGGCGATGGCGGGGGATGGAGAAGTGGCCGGAGCTGATTCTCTAGCACCTCACTCTTGCTGGAGCTTGTTCCGGCCCTTGTTAGTGCTGGACATACTTCGGTTGCTTGGGGCAACACGCAACCTGCTCTCCACCCCGAGACACTTCTTGGATGAAAAGAGAAACATTTTCTTTTTCTTCGTCAAGGAAATACAGTCCAATTGCTTTTTGAAAAAGTACATTTGAGACAACTCTGACCTAGATAACTGAGAATCTCCACAGACATTTTGTGACAAATATTTTTTCTTTTCACTCTGTTAGGCCTTTTAATGTATTATTTAAATTTAAATTTTTCCCCTGAGCAGACCATTTGTCAATTAACAAGGACAATTTCAGTGCTAAAACTCTGCAATTTGATTGAAACAGTTCTGGAGAATAAACTTCAATGCACAAAACTTGCTGTCCACTACTTTCATAAATATTTTGACCAAAATGGGAATACGCATAATAGAGCATCTGCTCTGAACTATCTCTAGATCTTTAGAACCCACACTAACCTTTTGAAGCCATTCTACACTGAAGCATCTTGCATCCCCTAAATTGATTGAATAAACTCCCTCCACTTGATCTACAGCAAGGATGGTTCTTCAATGATATACAGCTTTGGCTAGACTGCTGCAGGCATCCTGGAAATTGTTCGTTCTTGTTCCAGTTGTTTTGTAACTATTATTTATAATTCTACCAGTTTCACTTCTGTCATCCTTATTTTAGAATAAGGGAACTTCATTTGATCCAACCCCTGGATTTTTCCTACCTGCCGGCCCTTTATTGCAAAGATAATAATTTATTAAATCTAAATAAATAAAGAAAATGGTTTCTTAAAAAGAACCTTAATTCACACACAGGCTACCATAAATATGAACTAGCCTCATCGTTATTCAGTACCTTGAGCAGTCTAAAGGCAGTCATCCAACATGTTCTGCTTTGTTCATCCTCAGCACACAGCAATCTTAATTCTTTAATTTCATTCCTTATTCTGTTGGGCTAAAGAAGAAACCACAAAATATTAATTCTGTCTTTGATCCAAAAATTAATTTATAGTTTAAGTGCGATATACAAATCCTAAGCATTTGCTATATTGTAGAACATTTCGGAGTGCTCATATAAATTGAAAATTTCTGAATAGGCATATATAGGCATTCTCTCCTTAAAAAAATATAAAATCCAGGCAAAATCTGAAAGAACAACAGGTAGTCTAATGAATTTACTGCTTTGGTAAAAATGTAAAATTATGTCAATTTAATAGCTAATAACTGCCTGCCACACCCATTTGACAGGAGTCAATTTTGAATTGTTTTTCTCTATCTGTAATAGAATTTAGCATAAAATTAAAATCAATTATTTTAAATATGATATAAAAATCTGTAAATTTAATATCATAAACCACAAATCTTGTAAGATTTAAAGCTGTTACCTTTATACAAAAGCCATAGTCAGTCGGTGCACTGTACATTTTTTTGCATGCTATTAATGAAAAGATATTGCTGTCCTCAAGATCAGCTAGCAATTGCAGGTGTCTTGGTTCCTGGGGAAATAGAGTTGTAATAATTAAACAAAAGTATTAAACCATTATTTTATATTATCTAAAAATAAAAGGAAGAACCACTAAAGGGCAATAAAAGCTCACTAAAAAATTCTTAACTATTACCTCTAGCAGTAATAAATTTGATTAGTAATACTATCTTCCATATATTCAAAATCCTAGTATGTGCTTAAAGACATAGGATTTCTTCTATATCAAATGTTAAAATTCCTATCAAATACTTTTAAAAATTGACTAATCCCACACAATTTCAATTTATATTTGGGAACACGTTTTTCTGATTAACTTTTTAGAACATTCAATCATGCTCCTCTACATGTTCAAGGTTTCAGGGAAGACTTCAAACTGATGGCAAATGGGAGGAAGGTAAGCTTCATTACAAAATGCTCATCTTTTAATAAAAAGACAATGGCAAAATCAGTTTAATTATATTTCAGATCTTCTTATGGGTTTGCTCTGTCATATTTCTGCAGATACTTTGTATTTCCATGCTGTTTTGCTCTTATAAACCTATTTCTTTAAATAACTTCCAAGCCTATTTTGAATCATAGAATCATATGGTTGAAAAGGACTCTGGAGGACTTCTAATCCTAAAGCAGGAATTCTTATTCTATCCTGACAAATGCCTGTTCAATCTTTTCTTGAAGACCTCCAATAATGGAGCACCCTCAATTCCAGGAATCAAATTGATGTTGACCTTTATTCTACCTTAACTGCCTTTTAAACTAGTCTTTCTGACATAGCAAATTTGCTTGCACAGTAGGGAAGCAAAAAAAAAAAAAACTTAGAGAAGAGACCAATTATTGACTGAATTATCTCACCTACACCTCCTATACATGAAAGACAAATATGCTGCATATTGCCCAGCATTCAAAATGTCATATATACTATCTGATTGGAATCGTATAACATACATGAAGTTTTTAAATATTTGGAATTGGTCATTTTGTGAAGGTATTTTTTTTAATTTGCAACTGAGAATGCTCAAAGAGACACTGCTATTTTCTTGTGCAAAGGGAAAGACAATACAGATGATCAGCCACAGGATTTTTCATGTGAAGTTATAACTCAATAATGGTACTCAACACTGTAATTATAAAGATCACAACTCATTAGAAGGATCTAATCTAAATCTCAAGAACCCCTTTACTGGCATTAAATTATGCTCCAAAACTAAACTTACAATGAAATCCAGAGCACAGAGTAATTGAAATTTATACTCTAACATATTACTGACAATGATATCAGTGCCTTCAAAGTCTTATTGGTTATCTTTATTAAACTAGTCTAACTAACAAGTACCTTTGAAGACCCTTTTGTAGAGCAATAAAGTCCAGATTTCCTCAGACAACCATACAGCTTCTTCCATGATTTTCTTCCCAATTCTTTCACATGTAAAAACCCCTGAATTTCTGGACAACTATTTGAATTTAAAAATTTCTGTTGAAGATAAATGGAAATGTTGAATTCTACAATTACAAAGAAATAGGTACATGCAAGAGCTATTACTTACTAATTGGTTATTGTACGAGTGCAAATATTCATGCTGAAATGTTTTTAAAAATTATGCCACTTAACATGACTACCAGATACTTCAACAGAGAAGAGGTTTTTCAATTTATTTCCCCAGCAAAATACTATCATATAATAAATAATTCTAAAATCTACTGATAATAAAATCACCATATTATAATCAGAAGCTACTTGGGTTGTAAGTATAGGGGCATAATACCATTCCAGAGATGGCCAATGACATAACTCCCTAGAATGGAAACAATAGTAGCAAGTTGTTATTCTATAATGAGCAAATCTATATAATCTATGTTAATCCCATTTCTTCCTCATTTTCTTTTTTTTAAAGCAACAAACATGTTGACAAGGCATGTACTGTTCATACATCATTAGCTTCCCCAGCCTTATGTCTACAAGTATTACTAACATTTAATCTCCAAAATATCTAGTACACAAATAAAACTATCTAGAAATTCTGAGAGTTCTATATCTTGGCAGAACCAGACTTGAAAAAGCTAAACTTTGCTAGGGTTCACAAAAAAACATGTATATGAGACTTTGAACAGTCTCATATTAACATTTCCACAGGGTTACTGAGAACCAGTTTGATGTAGTTATCAGGCATCTGATTAGAATCTGAAATATCGTGAGTTCTAATCCCACTTTGGGCACCCACAGTGGGTGACCTTGGACCAATTAGTTTTCTCAACCATAAGAAGGAGGCAATGGCAAATCACTTCCAACAGACCTGGAAAAAAACCCTCCACCTCCGAAAACTGGACACCATTGAGCGCACAGGTGCGCATGCACATACACATACACATGAGCCACTTTTAAGACATGAGGCTAGAAATTGGGAAACTGTGAGTTCTAATCCTGCCTTAGGCACCAATTCAGCTGGTAACCTTGTGCCACTTACTCTCTCTCACTGCCTTTGAAGGGAGGCAATAGCAAACCACTTCTGAAACTAGAACTAAAAGTGGATGCCAGGAGGCACCAAAAATACAGAGGACAGAATATCAAACATATGTAATATAGCAAATATTTAATTATTTTTTTAATTTGTAAATTGTAAAAAAAAAACGTACATATACATTCATATATATATACATACCCATTTTATCTATATTGTTACCAATTTTTCCCCAAGGAAAACATTATTTTACACAATTTATATAATTTCTTCTTATAGAATTTCTTCTTTTAGAATTCATTCTGGGAATGAATTAAAGATATGATAATTGTATCTTTTTAACTGAAATTTTATTAGCTGACATGTAGTTTATTCTTCTTTGCAAAGTCTTAGACTTAGAGAAAAGAGTAACATCTCACAATTAAAAGTAGCTTTCAACAACATTTTCCTTTTACTCTTTTTTCCAATGGATATGTCCTGCTTTAACAACTTTACTTTGAATGAGATGGCACTGTTTCTGAAGAAGAAGCTTCATTGCCAGGAAAAGGTTTCACCCTGATTCATTGGTGTACCAAATTGCCTTCATTTCTTGCCAACCATTACTCCTGCACATATTACTTCACAGCTAGATTAATGCAATCTGTTTTATGCAAGGCTACTCTTGAAGACAATTTAGAATTTATAGCTGGTACAAAAAAATGCAGATACATAATACTAACTAGTTGACACCTATATAGTGTCATATGTTCCTAACTGGGTACATGAAAAGAGTCCTCTTGAAAAGTACAATTAAAATGAAACCTTCAGTAGTCAGCCATACCGCAGTTAACACTGGAAATACTACCAGTGGCAAATTCTTCCAGTGGTACAGTCAAATTAAAGTGCTTTTCTTTGTATCTTCTATAAGAAAAATAATATTTGGCTACAAATTGTACATTGAAAAGCCACAAAGTATTTTAAATCAAAATTCAGAAAGCTTGTGCTATAATAATTTAAACTGAACACTATGCTAGTTCAGTGCTTGCCTATAGTCTAAATATACTCCTTTTATTCAATCTATTCTGTCATGTACTGATTAATATATTTGTTATCTCCTTTGCTCAATTGGAAGACAACTGCATTCTCTTAAAGGCTTACCTGTAAAAGTTGTGATTGTGGAATAGAACCATTTGATTGCTGACACCAAGCAATCATCTGTTCCGGAAAAAAATTCTGGAACGGAGAGAAACAGAAATATCTGTTGGCAAAAATTTGCTGTTAACATACATTTAGCACATAATTCTAGATATTAACTTTTTCTGAGTTATTTTTATTGTTTGATATATACTTTGCCATTGTGTTCTAATAAGCACTCGAAACAGCTAATGCAGATGTATATTTTCAATCATAGTAGCATGGTCCATTTGTACATATCTTTCTTTTTACTTTTATTTTTAATTTACTTTTATTTTTAATTGTATCGAGTCACATATTTATTTTGCGGATAATAATAAATATGTTAAACCTTCCTGGTTGCCACCTTAGCTTTAGATCCTCTAACTACATCTTTTCCATCAAACACATTTGAAAAACTATTTATTGATATAAAGTGCAATACATATCTTTCTAAAAATAAGCTGTCTAGTTGAAACTAAACTGAACAAGCCATATCTTGGGTATCATGAAAATGGTTTTGAAACACATCACCAGAGCAATAACATAGGTTGAGTCATGATGTACACATTTAATACGAGAGAATCTACAACAGACACTGTAATCATATGCAAATGGGATGATTTAGATACAGATTAAGTCAATTTGCTTTCCACTTTTGAAGTACAGTAATAAGTTACTGGGTAATTTTTAAGGATGAGATACTATTTCTTTTCATTTTATTAAGGGAAATTTTATTGCATCTTTTAACAGACACTTCATTCACTGTGAACCATATATTCTTAGAGATCTGGTGCAACTATTTAAATTTCTTGCACAGTATATTCTAATTGCTAAGGTTCTTTAAATGTTCCTAGCCATTATTAACTAAACTTAAATAGAAACCCCCAAGATGTACAATCTAAGAGTATACAGCTCTATAAAATAGTAATGATCTCTTCTCCAAATGGATACTTGTTGGTAAGACTGGCTTATAGTTAATATATCAACTGAAGGCAAAGGGTTTCTGCAAAAAATGGGAAGTAACTATCTTTCAAAAGCAAATCTTTTTTTAGGTTAGCAAATTGCGACTACATAAAGGGAAATTATAGAATGCTTACCACAGGATTCTTAAAGAATTCATATTTTGCATAGTTCTTCCTGAATAAAAATTTACTTTCATTTCCCATGGTAGACTCAACTTGAACAATCAATTCATGATCTTCCAGACATCTCTCTATAGACAGAAGATAAAACAGATATTTTTCATTATCTTCATTACCAAATATATCATATTTTTCGGGGTATAAGATGCACTCCCTCCCCTGGAAAAAAGTGGGTGGAAAAGTCTGTGCATCTTATAGGCCTAATGTTGCTGAAGCCCCACCCATCCACCATCACTCAGATTTCGACCTGTTTCCCAGCAATTTACCTCCTACAAACAGCCTGGTCAGTTTCAGCACTGCCTAATTTAGCACGAGCAGCTGATTGGTGATTGGATCGGCCTACCAGAATACGATCAGTTGTTCCAGGCTGCAGGGATCACCATCGCTATTGCCGCCTCCACACACCCCATTTTCAGCCTCCACGTGCTCCGTTTTCGGTCTCCACACTCCTCATTTTCAGCCCATTCCAGGCAGTGGGGCTAGGCAGCGCCAGCAATCCCCACCACCTGGAATGGGCCAAAAACAGGATGTGTGGAGGCTGAAAATGGCATGCGTGGAGGCAGAGATAGGCAATGGTGATCCCTACAGCCTGGAACAGCTGATTGTTGATATGCACAGAGGCAGATACAACCGCCAATCAGCTGCTAGTGTTAAATCAGGCTGTGCTGAAGCTGACCAGGCTGTTTGCTGCAAGAAGGCAAATTGCTGGGAGGCAGAGGCAGATTTTTTTTTCTTGTTTTCCTTCCTAAAAGCCTTATAATTCAGAGCGTCTTATAGTCTGAAAAATACAGCAATATATATTCCATATATATTGGAATATATAAATACATAGAATATAGGATAACAGGGTTAGAAAGGGCCTTGGAGGTCTTCTAATCTAACCCCCAACTGAAATAAAGACCCTTTCCTCTTCTCGACAAATGGTTATCCAATCTCTTTCTCAAAGTCTCCAATGATGAAGCATCCACAACTTCTAAAGGTAAACCATCCCACTGATTAATTGTTCTCATTGTTGATAAATTTCTCCTTAGTTCTAGGTTGGATCATTTGTTAATGATCTTCCACCTGTTACTTCTTGTCCTACCCTCAGGTGCTTTGGAGAACAGCTTCCAAATATTAGAAGACTATCAAGTCACCCCAGTCCTTCTCTTTGTTAGACCAGACATACCTCCATACTACAACCATTCATTGTATGGTTTATCCTCTAAACCAGGAGTGTCAAACTCATGTTGTCACAGCAGTATCACATGACATATTGGGATGTTTTTTCCCCTTTGCTAAACTGGACATGGGAGTGGCCAGTGTGTGATACATCCAGCCTACAGCAACACTACTCTAGACCCTTATCAGCTTTGTTGCTGTTCTCTGTACTCTTTCTAGACTCTCAGCAATTTTTTGTATTGTGTTGACCAGAACTGGACACAGTATTCCAAGTGTGATTTCACAAGTACAGTATAAAGCGGCATTAATACTTCATATGATCTTGACACTATCCCTCTGTTGATGCAGCTAAGAACTGCATTGGTTTTTTGACAGCTGCAGCACACTGCTGGCTCATATTTAAGGATAAGTCCCCGCTAGGACACCTAGTTTCTCAGCCATTTCTGCTGAGTCCTGTACCACTTATTCTATACTACTGCATTTGTTTTTTCCTGCCTTAATCTAAGGCTTTACTTTTCTAACAACCAGATTTATTTTTGTTGGATAGGGCCCAGAGTACCAGTCTACCAAGACCCTTCTGTATCTCGAATCTATCTCCCTATCTATCCTCCTTCTATTTTCCTGTCTGTCTGTCTGTCTGTCTGTCTATCTATCATCATTAGCAACTCTCCCAGCTTCGTGTTGCCAGGAAATCTGATATATTTTCCACCCATCCCCTTTCTTCCATTCCCATCTTTTATGAAGATGTCAAAGAGTACTGGGCCTAAGACAGAGCCTTGGCGTACCAGGTTGCATTCTTCCCTTCATTTAGAGGTGGTTCCATTGAAGAATTACATCTTGAGTACAGTTACTTTACTTTCTTGTCATTGCACTTCATAGAACGAAATTAAATACCATCTTCAGTGTACAATTTATGACTATGAAAATAAACATAAACACACATCCCTCATACTCCACCCATTGAATTGAAAATCCCTGATATTGCATTAATATTGCACTATACAGTAGAATTCAACAGAGTTACTGCCCTGGGATAGAAGCTGTTTTTCAGCCTATTTATCATTGTTTTTATTATCCTGTACCATCTGCCAGATGGTAGTAGTTCAAAAAAAGGGTGCCCAGGATGAGCTGGATCTTTGAGAATGTTTTGAACTTTCTTAAGGCAGCAGGAGTTATAAAGCGATTCCAAAGAGGGGAGAGGGCAACCAATGATCTTCTGGGCAATGATGTTAAACTACTGGAGTGCTATTCTATCTGCTACCGTGCAACTGGCAAACCATATAGTACTGCAGTAAGTTAAAATACTTTATATGGTGCAGTGGTAGAAGGTCAACAGCAGTTTTTCATTCAGTTGTTTTCTGAGAAGTCTCAGGTAGCATAATCTCTGCTGGGCCCTTTTGACCAGTGCTGCAATGTGAGTACCCCAAGTCAGGTCCTTCTTTATGGTGACACCCAGAAACTTAAAACTGGCCACTTGCTCCACTCAATTTCCATTGATAAGCAAGGCTGGATGTCTGAACTCTTGATCAGCAAGTTGAATCCATCTGTGGTAATGCTATCTATCCATATTGTGGTCTACTTTTAGACTTATTGAAGTCTAAGTAAATTATGCCTACAGCATTTCCCTGATCCATTGCTTTAGTCACTTTGTCAAAGAGGGCAATAAGTTTGTTTGGCATGATCTGTTTTTAACAAACCCATGTTACTTCAAGTAATCAATTTGATTATTTCTAGCTGAAAAGCTACTGCTTGGCTATCTTTTCCAGGATTTTCCCAGATATTGATATCAAACTGATTGTATTTTCCAGGAACTATAAAAAAAAAGTACATTCTCAATTGCTTTGAGCCGTTGCAAAGCAGTTTCTTGTTTTTAACAGTATTTCTAATTCTAATTTAGTGGTCTCTATGTGCCTTCTTTCTTTTAAAATTTTTAAAAGATTTAGAAATTTTTTAAAAAGAAATTGAAGAAAAAAAAGTCTCTCAGCTCATAGTTATAGTAAAAGGATATATACAAATAGTAAGTTCTCAATTGTTTTGAGAAGTGCCAAAGCAGAATCTAGTTTTTAATAGTATTTTTTAATATTGTCTAATTTAGATTTGGATCGCTTCTTTTAAAATTTTTTTAAAAAACCTGAAAGATTTAGATTTTTTTAAAACAATAAATTTTTAAATATTTTTTTAATCTTTGGATTTTTGTCTTTTAAAGGTTTAATAATTCTAAAAATTAAAGAACATTTTTAAAAAATGAAATGTAATTTAAAATTTATTTATTTATAAAATTGGGTTTATGAAGGGTTTTATTTTTAACAATATTTGAATTCCTTCCATCCTTTGGAAATTGATCTTTTGCTCTCTCTTGAGACTAACATGTAATAATACTTTAAAAAAATTAATCCTCTGCTCCCTCTTGTGGCTAAAATAAAACAATTTATAAGCCACAAAAGAAAAAAATGCAAAGAAAAAAGTTACTGTAAGAGCGTAAAGAATTAATAAATTGTCCTTCTATTCTCCTTCCTGCATTGCCAACCTCCTTTTCAATTTCTTCTCTCAATTGTTTCACTAATTTATTTTAGCTTTCGCATTGTGGGTTTATGTTATGGTGCTTTTTACCGTACCAATGTGGTTGCTGCCATTTTCAGCCATAGCTTTTCACATCCCACTGCCATCCTGATGCCATTCCTTCTTCTTCCTTTGCTTTTTTTAACTTTAATTCTACTTTTCCTCCTCTTTCTTCTCCTTCTTCTCTACTCTAAGGGCTTTGTTGCATCCACTGGCACAGTGGTGGGTTTCAACGTAGTTTACCATCAGTTCAGTGGGTGTGGCTTTGCGCACACGCACACACTTTACGCTTCAAAAGCAGGGAATAAAGGTCAGTATGGGAGCCCAGGCAGGCGAGCCCAACAGCAGCTCCTAAGAGATAACTGGTTCGGTCTTTGCTGATCTTCGGCGCTACCAGTAGCCACAACTGGGCCGACTGGTAGAATAGCACCACTGCACTGGCACTGCTGCTACCGGTCAGCTGCTGCCACTGTTGGCTGTTGTTGCCAATACTATTACTGGTTGAGCCTGCTGCCACTGTTGCCAACTGTGGCCACTGATTGTGCCCAACACTGATACTACTGATTGTACTTACTGCCATCTTTGCACCCATCTTCCTTTTCCTTTCCTTCTCCCCTCTTCTTTCTTTTTTTCTCTTTCTTTTACTTCTTTAATTTTTTTAAAGTTTACTTCTACTTATTCTCCTTCTCCTCTTCTGAAGAACTGTACTATGCCACTGCTTTCTTCCTTTGTGCAACATTTTTCCAGCTCCACTTCTTTTCCTTCCTTCTCCCTCCATTTACTTTTTTAATTTTACTTAACTTTGCTTGAACTTTAACTCTATTCCTTCTCCACCTCTTTCTCCCATGGTGGGCTGCTGTTTTTATCTGCTGTGATGGAGTGCTGTTTCCATTACCACCATCTTTACTCATATGATAGAACACTCATATAACATATTCCAAGTGTGTGTGTGTGTATCATTCAAGTCCTGATTACTGCCTAGACTAGTCCCTGCAGTTTTCTTGACTTCAAAAATGGCTTGCCATTACCTTCTTCATAGGGCTCAGAAAACATGACTGGCCCAAGATCACCTAGTTGGCTTTGTGCCTAAGTTGGGACCAGAACTCATGGTCTCCTAGTTTCCAGCCAAGTGTCTTAATACTGCACCAAACTGACTTTATATTCGAAAAACTTACAAGCTCAAGTTGAATTGTAGAGTCCTTGGAGCTAGAAGCACTAGAAGACAATGAGGTTTGTTCTAAGTTTATACAGGCAGTCTCGATTTACAACCATTCATTTAGTGACCATTCAAAGTTACAATGGCATTAAAAAGCGACTTATCACCTTTTGTGACCTTCTAACAAGCAACACA